GTCTGCTTTGTCAAAGATTAGATGGCTATATGAGGATGGAACTGAGAACCCAGAGATGCTTACTTATATTTAAATCAGTATTTTTAAAGCTATAACCCATTATCATTATCTGTGATGTGTATTTGCAATATTGTTATTATTCGTAAAAGAATAATAGTGTTTTATTTTCATTGAAAGTATATGTGAATATTTAAAATCCATATATATTGAGAACTTTCAAATAAAACTGTTATCAATGTCAGAGAAGGTCCATTTTTATTCAAAAATGTGAAAAAGACAGAAAGAAGTATGTTATAGAGTTGGATATTCTGACACTAATCTTACTGTTTAAGAATATAACACTTTGACTTTCAAAATTAAAAAAAATGATTATTACTAAAATAAAGGTGTATTGGGGCAGTAGTCATCACTTTATTCAAATGACAGTAAAATATACTCAATATCATTAACAAAAAGAATATTTTCAAAGAAAAGGGGAAGCACAGTTATAGCATTATTTTAAAGTCTATGTAGTAAATAATGCTTGATCTTCATTCAAGACTATGTTATTCATTTCTGCATCTCTCATAGCTCCATTAAAACTATAGTAGACATTTCAAGTAAACCTGCAGAGAGGAACATGTGCCTAGATTAATATGCATTAAAATTAAAATGATTCAAAGCAAAACCATTATTAAAAATTGTAAAAATTGTGTTCTTTTGAATGTATATGATACTAAGAGTACTAAGAAAGGCATGGTGATCACGATATTCTTTACTGCTTACCAAAATGAATTTTAAACTTTATTATTTTTCAAACAAATAGCTCTTTTTCTTTATCAGCTAGTGTTCCCTTGCAGAGTAAGCTGATTTGGATTTTTCTCCCTAAATCAAAGGCAGACTATTGTCATAGCTGCAGAAATGATTTTCTTTTTGAAAGCCCCTCTATCTGCCTTTAGGGCAGAAATAATTAATATTTATATAAATACAAAGTACCACTCTACAGTAAAAGATTTAATAGAAATTCTGAAGCCATTGTTTAGTGATTGCATTTAGAGATTACATTCTGAATTGAAGTTAACTGTTTTTGAAGTGGGTTCTGTAATGTAACTTTCAAAAATTAGAAATCTTTTCAATGAAGCAAAATATTACACAAAACACATCCATGTTTATTAATTAACATTACAGTGTTATATTGGTGTGCATGGAAACTAGATAAGACAATGCCTTTGGACTGGGCTATATTTTGGGGAACAAATACAATTTAACTACTCTAGGTCTCAGTCATAGAAGTATTAACCGTAAAATATAATAGAATGAACAACAATCTTTAAAAATATTTAACATAAACATAAGTAGTGAGACATTATATATGCAGAAATACACCATCCAAGGATTACTTGAAAACATTGGTTCATTAAAAACTCAATACATAGTTCTATGGGTAAAAGATATGTTAACCATTATACTAACCTCCTATCATAACTCTAATTTTATCTACATTTTGATGCTAGGAATGACTCATTGTTTTTATAACTTTTATTGTCAATATTTTCAGTACTTGGGAACGGTAGAAAGAACAATGAGTGCACTATTTGTAACATATGTAAAGAGCCTGCTAGCGTTGGTAAGATGGTTCTTTATTCCCAACAATAGATCTTATTAGTTTTTGCCTATGATTACTTTTGACTGATTAATTCTGATTGTTTTGATCTTCAGAATACAATGTTTTACCCTTCTTATTCAAAAATTTAAAATAAATTACAAATAAATCCCAGAGAAGCTAGCATAGTAACATTCACTCTCTCATAAAATGATGAGGTTAAAGTCACAGTGGTGAATTAGAACACTATTTGTAACGAATTACCTTGATGTGGAAAAAACATTTTGTCAAGGGAGGAAAAATTATTCCCCAAAATTACATTAAAAATACGTAATGATATACTGTTGAATTTGAGAATATTAGAGAAAACTGGAAAGCATGATTCATTGGCATCATAGTAAGATTTGTGAGGCTGTCTTAACATTAAGAAATAAAGTTGTTATTGCTCTACAGGTTCCAATTGAAAACAACTCTCAAAACAATGTTCTCGTAAGCTATATAAAAGTGACAAGAACAAAATAATAGTGAAAAGAGACCAAAGAAAACATACATAGTAAATATCAAAAAGTGAAAAAGTCATAAAATATATTTTGTTTGTATTAAGTTCCAAAGAATATTGGTAATTCATCCAGTTTCTAATTTTTTGTAACGGATTCTGGCAACAATTATTCATTGGTTTTATTTGAAAAACTTAAGACCTAATAAATCATATAGTTTACAGATAAAAATGTTTTGACTTTTTACCTTCCAAAACAATTAATTATATTTTTAATATCAGCAACTAGTTACCAAATCTAAGCACTCTATAATGAACAATTTGGTGCACCTAAATCTACAAATGTATTGTTTCATTTCTTCTTCTGCCTTACATTTTTTCA